CCTCCCTCCGGCTCCGCAGCTCCTCCCGGGCAGCGGTCCAGGCACCGAGGCTGTTTTTCCAAACACTGGGTGGTGGGTGACGGCGCAAGGGCACCCCCCAGGGGTGGCGGCCTCCAGTTTTAGGAAGAAGAGTTGACGTTCCCAGAGGACATTATGGTTTCGGGGTTGTCCGCATCGTCCTTCTGCGGGTGAGAGGAGTTGTCCGACTTGCTGCGGCTGAACTCCACGCCCGCGACGATGGGGCGCTTGAACTTGCCGGCGGCGCCCGCGCTGGGGCACCGGCAGCAGGACAGGATCCGGAGGAAGGCCCGGCGCATCTCCTTGTTGGTCAGCGTGTAGATGACCGGGTTGGTGGCGGAGTTGAGCACCGCCAGCACCAGGAAGTACTCGGCCTTGAAGAGGATGTCGCAGGTCTTCACCCTGCAGCCCACGTCCAGCAGCAGCAGGATGAAGAGCGGTGCCCAGCAGGCGATGAACACGCTCAGCACGATGATCACCGTCTTGAGCAGCGCCAGCGACTTCTCGGAGCTGCGGCTGGCCTTGGACATGTTCTTGCGGAAGGTCAGGCGGCGGCTGCGCGTCCTGACCAGGGCGTAGATCCTGCAGTAGAGGATGACGATGGACAGCAGCAGCACGGTGAAGACCGTGGTGCAGAAGAGCACATAGTGCTTGTGGTACAGCGGCAGCACCGTGGAGCAGCTGGGCAGCGCGCGCAGGCAGTTCCAGCCCATGACGGGCAGCCCGCCCAGCACCAGCGAGATGACCCAGCAGGCGCTGATGAGCAGGAAGGAGCGCGCGCTGCTGCGCTCGTGGTGCAGCTTCATCTTCAGCATGGTGATGTAGCGCTCGATGGCGATGGCCAGCAGGCTGAACACGGACGCCGACAGCGCCACGAACATGCTGCCCTCCCGCAGGAACCACTGCGCGGGGGTCAGCCGGTAGGTGTTGGCGCCCGAGAAGAGCAGGTTGATGGCGTAGGCCACGCCCGCCAGCAGGTCCGAGAGCGCCAGGTTGCCGATGAAGTAGTACATGGGCCGGTGGAACTTCTTGGTCTTCCAGATGGTCAGCAGGACGAAGACGTTCTCCAAGATGATGAAGCAGCAGATGAGGATGAACACGGCCGAGGTCACGCGCAGGCCGCCGCCCGCGTCCGCGCCCAGGTTCAGCTTCCCCGTGTAGTTGTAATGCCGCACGATGACGTCGTAGTTCACGTAGTC